CATCAGACATCTGCATGCCTCCGACACCTGGACCAACCAGGTAGAGCTACTATCTACCATTCCCAGTAGCCCGTTGCTTGAATATCTCAGTCATGAACATGAGTAATAAATTAGCTGAAGACAAAAGTGCAGACATCGAAGATTTTCACATTTAAAAGGCAATAAACGAACAAAAACTAATGCTGCCCAGCTAAACGGGACACTATGTGATCAGGTGGAAGTGCAGACTCACTTTTGTCTAATCACGCCGCGTCCTGTTTACTTGCAGACTTGACTTGCTCATTGAATTAATTCATTAGAGTAAATAAAATGGTCTGTTGATTGCTTAGGTAAACGAATGTCTTATGGAGCGTCTCAGCCAAGCGAAGGACCTTCTTCCAGAGAAACTATCTGTCAAACCACCAGGTAACTATCAATAAATCAATCAATCATTTATGATTGATTATTATAGAACGTACATATACATTTTACATGTATGTGTCATTATGTTTAAATAAAAATATATATTAACTTGTTTTTATATTAGTCCTAGAACAATTTTTTGTTTAAGTAAATTCAACAAATTTTAAGCCAAATAAGCTAATGAGTTTCAACCAACCCTATAGTAAGTGAAAAATCTCAGTAGCATATCAAATTTATACAATAATATCACCACTCTGAATAAGTTGGTTCATTCCTTGCTTTGCTTATCACTTGCTTATCCACATAGTACAGGGGTATCTGTGTATGAACAAATGGGTTAAAAGAGACCACCAACTTTACCAATGTTAGAAGAAATAGTTTGAAAACATCAACATTTTATAATTTAGTAAAATTTGTTCTAGTTTCAGAATGTCAAGACAAACTATCAGATGAGTCTTGTACAACCCAAGCTGCTTCACCAGACCTGGAACAGCTGTGTAAAGAGGTGAGTGTATTAGTCTGAAACCCCAGAGATCTCTTTAGTTTTACATCATAAAAATCTCCTGGAAAATAGTGATGTAGTATCAAAAGAGACCAGTCGTTGGGATTAGTAATGAACATGGGGTGGTCTAGTGAAAGAGGGTTTCTAATTCTATTACTAAATGGCTGCCAATTTTTGTTTATCCACACCATTAGCATTTTCAACATTTTAGAACTATGTAAAAATCCCAGGACCTTCAATGCCTAGCCTAATTTGTAACATAGTTCTGGATTGATTCTAGCATCGTAGGATCAGGATGTGAAGATGGGACACAAAGATCAAAAACACACAAACTTCTGCAAGTAAACACAATTTAGTTATTTAACAATACAATGTAGATTTGTAATGTCTCTGTGTAGGTTTGGCCGGCCTTGGCTGTGGTGGGAGGGTTGGACCGAGGCCTGCGCGTGGGTGGCCTGTGTATAGACAAGGCCTCAGGCCGCCGGGCCTCAGTCCTGGGAACTCTCAAGAGAGGCCTCTCCTCAGTCAAGCTGTTGTGGGATGACGGAGATGGAGAGATCAGGTGACTATTTTTTTGTGACTGAAAGGTCACTATTTTGTAAATACTAAATAGTACCTTGTACTTATCAAAGTGCCAACTTATACCCCGAGTCGGTACTCAGCCTCACCAGCTGGTTCGGTCCACAGCATAAGGCCTAACTTCCTCATATCCCTCATGACCTGGTCCCACAACTTTTAGCCCTTCCTGAAAGTTTTCTGCCTTCAGGAACATTTCTTAATATGTTTTATTTTTACTGTTGAATATTCTTAATTCCTTAAAGTTTGTCAAGTCAAACAAAACCTCCTGTTTTTAATCTTTCCAACTATATTAATTTAGGGATTTTGGTGCAGCCAAAAAAGGCTTACAACTGTTTATGGATGTAAATTTGTTATTTTATTACTCAAGGGGATCCATACTTTCATATTGATTGTTTTATTTTTTAGGCTCAGAAAATGGTCAGTTAAAAATATTTCAAGAAAATATGTTAAAACACCCACATTTTTGTTGTTATGTTCAAATAGGTCTGTAATATATGCTTTAAATGTGTTAGATGTAAATTATAAATTTCTCTATGTAATATCAGGTAATATGTTTTGAGTATATGTTTTTAGTTTATTTTGGCAACTCTATAAATTAGTTCTCTGTTTGAAAAAATATAAAAATTGGTGAACGTGCAAATTGGTATTACGTGTGTGAATTTTTATGACAGTGACAGGCTGTCCATTTAATGAAAAATAACTGTTCATTTTTTAGATAGATTTAGGTTATGAGGACCTATTTCACATCATGAAACAATACATAAATTACAAAAATACATAAATTAATAATGAATATTTCCCTGTCAAGTGTGGATCCAATGTGTTTAAACCTAAACTACACATTTTAGGCTACTTGAAGAAGAAATTAATATCGGAATCAGTGTAGGAAGAATGAAAGAGACAATATTATTTTTTTCCTCTTGTACAGTTTTGTGAGTTGACCTCTCTGTCATTAATTTCTTTAGTAAAGTGAATGAGCAATTTTCAAAGTTAACTCCAAACTCCTATTCCTTGTCATAAGTGTGTGTGTCTGTGTGACAGTGATGGACTGCTAAGTGGCCTGGAGGCGTGTGAGCCGTTCCCCTTCTCTACAAGCAAACTCGGCCCTGTGTCTGCGGACATCTGGCTCAGCATCATCAAGCTGACTGGCCTTACAGGAGATGTAACTAGCTTGCAGTTCAATCTAATCAAAACTAATGATGTAATAAAGAGCACAAAGTCCTAGCTACTTTTGTCACATTAGTGCCTATGCAGCATGTAGTACAATCGTGCTGTTTAGTATACAATTGGTGATTTAGCGGCTTGTGGCACGTTCAAATCTTAAATGTAGCACTTTTTCTTTGTATTAATTCTCCGTTTCATTTCTTTTGTTTCTCTGAGCATTTTCAACAAATGCTAAGAATAGTAAAAATATATTGCAATACAACATATTATAAATAAATAATAACACTTAAAAAATTATTTTAAAAATATTATCAGCCTAAATCTGTGTGAAAATAAATGTACTGAAATTCTTCACAATTTTATTATTAAAGATTACTTGTTCCAGTTGAAGTTCAGTGAGGTGCAGCTGACCCCAGTAGAGTGGGAGGCACTGGCAGCGAGCGGGCCGGAAACCAAGCGACGTTCGTCTACGTTCGCTCAGTCAGTAGAGTCACTCACTCACCAGATGGTGGTCAGTATCATCGGAGAGGTGACGAGGAGAGGCAGCTCCGACCACTCCGCCGCACAGACTGACAGCAGCCCACAGCAGAGCCACAACACGGACCGTGAGTTTGTACAACAGTCCATCACTGCCAGGTGAGTGCGATTACAAGTATTTTAAATTAACTTCTTGTGAAGATAGTAGGCTTACCTGAAGAGTCCAAACTGACACAGGAAACACAAAACTTTAAACTATATCCACAAAACATTAGAATATTTCAGAAGATAGAAAGAAGAAAGTGATAACTCTCAGCACTCATTAGAAGTTTTTTGGTTAGAAAATAATAATGCAAATATATTTTTATATTAATGTGAGTTTAGTGTGTTCAAATATTGTTTGTTGTTCTCGTTCCTGCATTGAGAGTAAAATACAAGGTGTCATGTATTTAGATGTCCGGTGAAAGAAAGCAACACTGATTATTGAATGATTTGACTTGTTGACAGACTAGCCAATGAGAAGCTGTTGTGGTGTGAGACTGCAGCTGTGCAGGTTACCTGTGTACAGATGTCAGCTCTCAAGACCATCACTACTCTGTTGTCCTGTAGTCAGTATACAGAACTGCTGCTTGTGCCAAACATTACCTTCACTATGTCTGACAAGAAAGAGGACCAGGTAACAGATCAAATCAAATCAAATCAAAATGTCTTTATTTCGTAAAAGTAATCATTTTTACATTTTTACAAAATACAGTATCAGATTACCATAAGAATATAACTGAGTAATTGAACTAAACGAAATTAATCCCACATGGGAGAACCCGTGCGTGGGAGTGAGTCATTCTGTACTTTGATATGAAAGAGAGAAAAAAAAAGTTTTATACGTAATAAGAAACAAAACAAAATACTTCTATCCACTGGCATGATTCCAAAGCGCTAGCGGAATTTTGGCAAATCACATTGGAACATAGATAAAATGATATCAGGTTGACTCGTTAACTTTCCCCTACCATTAACCCCCCAAAACGCCCCCCTCCCCCCCAACACACACACACACACACACACACACTCACACAGACACGCGTGCAAACACAAACACACGCTGTATCAGCTGTATCACCTATTGTCTGTATATGGAAACTAATAATCTATTAGCTCCATCCCTCCCAATGAGTTTTAGCCAGTGAACAATGTGTTTTTTGTACGTTGTAATTGAGTGTCTGTCATAGTCTCGTAAGTCTAGTGGAAGGTTAGAGTAAATGATGTGTGCAACGTAATAGCAATTTGTTGTAGAAAATGTCTTTGTAAGTCTTGGTAAGCGTATGCCTTGGCCTAGTGCATGTCGAGTATTATGGTCATGTTGTGGACGATCAAAGAGTGACTCATGATGTTTGTAAATAAACATCGAAACTGTTCTGATGTATATTTGCGTTAAATCAAGTACATTCATTTCGGTGAACAGAGCATCCGACGAGTATTGCCTACCCTTGCCCAGTGCCGCTTTTATGATTGCCTTTTGTGTCACAACAAGAGGTTGTAGAACATTTCTGTAAGCACAGCCCCAGGCAATTAGTAGCGTAGATAAATCAGCTATGTTACTGTTTTTTTTTTTTTTCAATGGGTGTTTCTTGAAGTTTTATTTTTTTATTTTCACGTCACACTACTTTTATTTTACTTGTTTTAAGTTTTATCAAACCCACCAGCACTTTTCCCAGAATTGCTTGTTACGGTTCGTTAATCTTGTAATTTGTACAAATTCTCTGCTAATCAGAATATGGGAGTCTAATGACTCGTATTTACAATTATATATCCTGACGTCTTATTTCGATTTGTATTGACCTATTTTATTGATATTGACGCTGATATGACAATTGCAGGCCCTGGAGGGTAGAGATGTGCAGGAGACAGTTGCTGGTAAAGAACCTCGAGACTTGGATGAGATTGCTCTCAGAGATGCTCTGCGATATATATTGAGGTAGGTCATGACCAAGGAGATCCAGGGTTAAAAGAAACACTTACTCTTGATTTGGTAGTCTGGGTTTAGCTTTATGACAGATATAAAATTCATACATTAAATTTCTTTCATGGTTGTTTGGTCGCTACTGAATTGACGTAGGTTACTCTGTACCGCATATTATAGGTACTCTCCTAGTTATCAATGTCAGCTGACTGAGAAAGCCATACCTTTATCAAGAGTTTGCAGGAAGAATGTGCCCAATTTTTTATTTTTTATTTCAGGTGTCTGGTGGAAAAAGCTGTAGCGTTGTGTGATCTGCCACAGTTAGCATCATTGGAGGAGCTGGAACGTGCGTTTAGTGTGCTGCACACAGAACACACACGAGCTCTCGCACATCACAAACACAGAATAGACACACTGGAGGCTAGAGTGAGGGGACTGAACAATACTCGCCCTACCTGTCAGGAGACTAGTCAGGTGAGTAGACTTTACTTCAAGAATAAAAAAAAAAAAAAAAAAAAAAATTCTGAGGATGGTTTTAATTAGGAAAAAAATTAACACCTAGGAATAACTTATACGTTGACATGGTTGCAATGAAGACTTAGTTTGTAGTTTTAGTATTAGTGGTCATAGAAGCCTTAGTTCTCCGATGTTCCCCTTCTTAGGGTCAGCAAGCTTACTCTGTTTAGGCCTTCTAAAAAGGTCGCCTCTGACCTCTTGAGACTAGACAGACGAAGAATTAAATTAACTGTTGAGGTCTAATAGTTGAGTTTAAGCCCTTTTCCCTCGCAATTTCTACAAGTTATTTATCCATCTCATAATAACTGTATAAATGTGTAAATTTTTGGGGTAAAAATATTCTCAACACTCACATGTATCTATAAATAATGAGGGGAATTTTCTGTTGATACACATAGGTTGCTAGACAGCAACACACACCTCAGAGTCAGCCATACCTGTTGTCACTGTCTCGGATGGCACAGAAAGTGTCTCCTATCATCCCTCCCAAGTTGCTGCTGCCCCTCGCCCCGCTGGCCTCACTAGGAACGCCTCCGCTAGAGAAGGCAGGGCCACCGCAGTCCGCCCCCTGTAGCAGCAGCTTGCACCGCTCTCCCTCCCCACCTCACCCGCTCATCGCGGCTCCATTGTTAGAGATGGGCTTCTCTCTGAAGCATGTACAGAAGGCTATCAACGCTGTGGGTGGTAGTTCCGACTTGGCCTCCACTACTGTCAACCAACTTGCTACTTGGATGATAGAACATCCATGTATAGAGCCGGACATCATAGAGACGGACAGCCAGCCTAGTGTGGAGCCCAACCAGGTGGGAGAAGTTAGTAATATTGAGTATAGTGAATTGAATGTTATTGTCTGGGTAGAGGGGTTGTAGTACTCGCCTACAAATCTGAAGGTTCCTAGTTCAAAGTGGGGTCGATTCTGAACACTGATTCCATTTGTCATGGAGATATCAATTAATGATGCTATTTAACAAAAGTGTTTGGATCTTTTTCATACAAACCAATGGAAAGGTAAAAATACAAATAAATAAACTTATTAACACCTAGCTAAATAATGATACAGGGTGAGTTTTAAATGAGTTCCCCCCCTACTTTTTTCTACATTTCTTAATATATCAACTCCGGACCAGGTCAGATCATTGTAGAGTAGTAAGTACTTCATTTTGACTGGGCATAAATTTTTGGCCGCCATCTTGGATCCGCCATATTGGATACAAAGTTTTTTTTTCAAATGTAAAGGTAGGGTTGTGACAGATTATTCCAAACTAGAATTTTACGCTGATCACAATGCCACAAATAGTTTTAAAATATCTTTATCCGTTCTAAAGTTATAAGGACTTTTTATAACTTAATTTTTAGCCCATTTTAACATTGTGCATTTACAAACTAAGACCATAATCTCAAAATAGTGCTAGATAGATAAAGATAAGTATATACCACCATTCATTGTCGACCTATTTTCACTTGGTTATGACGGATGTATTTTTTCGGCCGCCATCTTGGATCCGCCATTTTGAAATGTGACAAATTAATTTAAATATGAAGGTGGTGTTGTGACCCATCATTTTGAACTAATTTTTTATGCTGAACTCAATGCCGCAATCAGTTTTTCATTTGCATGTTTGGTTTTTGAATTATTGAAATTTTAAATAAGATAATTTTAATATTTCATCAAGAAAGCTTGATAACCAAAAACAGATTGCGGCATTGAGTTCAGCATAGAAATGTAGTTGAAAATGATGGGTCACAACACCACTTTCATATTTAAATTAATTTGTTACATTTCAAAATGGCGGATCCAAGATGGCGGCCGAAAAAATACATCCGTCATAACCAAGTGAAAATAGGTCGACAATGAATGGTGGTATATACTTATCTTTATCTAGCACTATTTTGAGATTATGGTCTTAGTTTTTATGCACAATGTTAAAATGGGCTAAAAATAAAGTTATAAAAAGTCCTTATAACTTTAGAACGGATAAAGATATTTTAAAACTATTTGCGGCATTGTAATTAGCGTAAAATTCTAGTTTGGATTAATGGGTCACAACCCTACCTTTACATTTGAAAAAAAAAACTTTGTATCCATGGCGGATCCAAGATGGCGGCCAAAGATTTATACCCAGTCAAAATAAAGTACTTCCTACTCTACAATGATCTGACGTGGTCCGGAGTTGATATCTTAAGAAATGTAGAAAAAAGTGGGGGGGAACTCATTTAAAACTCACCCTGTATAATTTTCTCTCTTGTAACAACTACTACAACTAGTAAGTACTATAACCACTTGGCTACCCACTCCCAGACTTGTTTTAGTGTTAAAAAATGTCCACATAAATATTATTTTAGTTTTATATTGTGATTTGTGAACAGGTTGGATGAAGGATAAAGGATTTTTGATAGATTATCATCCTGACTATCTATTTCAGGCTATCTCAACATAGGTTTAATTTACTTATTAATATTTCATGTTTATAAGCCTTTAATAGAACTCGGACAACTTTTACATTTTTGGAACTGGCAGGGCGGGAGATACGACCCAAGTCGGCTTTACCTGTCGGAGGAAGTGGTGGTGGGGCCGATACGTCGAGGCTGCGGCTCTACGCGACGTCGCGCCTGCTCTGACATCCGCAGCTACCTGGCGGACCGCAGTGACACTGAGCGAGAGAGAGAGAGGGAGAGGGAACACGTCCGAGGAGAGGCAGAGCCACTGTACCTACAGAACACACAGAACCTGTTTGAAATAGCCTCCGTCCAAGGATTCCCTCTGTTGGCACAGGTGTGTTGACGGTAAAAACATGTACAGGCCATACAGTAATGTAATATAACATAACAACAATATACATGACAATAAATAAAGTTTTACCTTTGACTATAGATAGGTAAAACTAAACATACTGTCCCCAAAGTAAATCTATAGCTTGTTTTAGAATAAATGTTTATGTAGTTGAATTGAGTCACCAATTCTATTAATCATATCAATCTGAAAGGACAACTTATCTGTCAACTAAAGCATCTTTTATGTTACATCATCTCAGCTACATAAAATCTAAGGGAGAAAGTATAATTTTAGACACTCTGTGAGTGGCTTATTCATTTAAGTTCTTTTTAAACAAAAAATAGGCTACAGCTGTTCCATATGGATGTTTATCTCAATCCCCAAAGTTATTGCTACTGCTACCTTACAATAACATAATGCAATCTAACACATTATAGGCCCTGAGTTAAATTTTTAATAAAAAATATTACCAAGAAAAATTAATATTTCAAGCTTTCTCTAACTAAAATGTTGTATCATTAAAACTTCTGTTTCCTACAAACAAGTTTTTTTAACAAAATATTGAATTTTTAGGGCAAATAATTTGTTTACAAATTTCTTTTCTTATTTATCACAGCAAAATCATTCTCAAGGTAAGTGAGATATGTCTTCCTTCGTTGATGAAAAGAATATTATGTTATTTGTAGTGATTTTGAAAAATGTACAATTTTATTTTATGATACTTAGATAGTTTTGTTAAATGTAAATACAAGGAACCTTATTTAGTATGTTTGGGATCCGTTGTTTGCAGTTTGCCATAGAGCCCAACACAGAGTGCATGCTGTGTCAGCAGACGTCCAATCAGCTGAGCAATCACATGATAGCGGCTCACCCAGGCTGTGGGGCGTTGTCAGGTGGCAGCTACTGCGGCAATGTACTCTGTAAGTAACATGCTGACTTCCACAAATAAATGAACCAAAGGGCAGTTTACCTTTTATCTTCTCCTCCACATTTCCAGTAGTAAGACTAGTTGTTTGTTGTATATATCGTTATGAGCTGGTCAGGATGTGATTGTAAAGCAGAATGTTTTGACTGTTGCAGCCAACAAGTATCTGTTGTGTATAGAGTGTCAGACAGAATACAAGAAGGCCATGTGCAAGCCAGATACATGTCAGAACACACAACCTTGGGCTGACTTCCTCACTCCCACCTCCAGCTACAGCCAAGGTAAATTCAGTACATCCGCATTAGTGAGATTAAATAAAAAGTCTGTGGGTTAAAAATTTAAATACCATAAGACCTAGTGGTTTGATGGCAATAGGTAATTTAAGCTCAATACCATTGTTAGTGATTTGTATTACAATCCTAAAAGCCACTACAGTTTATTAATTCACATTGTCAACTGATTAAAGTCAATTTCCTACCATTATTTATAGTCTATATTGTTAGTAAGTCATAACACTTTGCTTGACAACAATAGTTTTTTGATTATGTTCCATGTTACCGGGTCTTTTCATTTATCTGTACTTACTGCGGCTGATGAGTATCATTTCACACAGAGACCAGTCTGGTGTGGGAGGAGCCCGCAGATGTGCCGTCACTTGAGGCTCTCTATCACAACTTTGTTTCTCCACCCATCACCTCCTTCATGAACATGAGTGTGACTCGAACAGCTGACCCCCTGGGCAGCTCAGCTGTACCTGTGGTCACCGACTCTACCAAGCAGTCCAGTCAGTATCTAGTCTAGAGTTGGGAAATGTAAACATCTTGTTTTTAGAGGTTTTTTTTTTAGAACGATTGGTTTTAATTAAGCACAAAACATCTTACCTTTCTATTCAGTATACTAACAATGACATTGATTTAGATATGAAGTAACTTCTTGCAAAATACATGTGCCTCTTTGCTCTTTCTTTTTAACTGATAAGCTCAATACTTGTACTGGCCACATTGTTGACGTCAACAACACAATATCATCTGACTCTGCTGCTCGTAAGGCAAGAACGATTGGCTGTCTTTCCGGGAATAAGCTTGGCAGCTTTTTTCCACTAGCTCGAAATGATTTTAATTTCATAGCTGCTCTCTTGGTATCACCTCTAAGTACATAAAAATTAAATTTAAAAAAGATATGTTTTTTGTCCAATGCAGTTGGCTTTTTGAGCATCAAATATTTCAATGTTGGCCAGTTTCACTGACCATTCGAGCCAAGACAACTGATGTGAAAATTATCCTAGCTGCTGTATTTTTTAAATAGGTATTGTTGGCCCTAATTCATGTGTTACATAAACTATATGAATAAAGGATTTTTAAAATTTTTGGTGTGTGAATTACGGTGACCAGTTGGCTCACAGTTGTCCACCCAACAGATTAAGGAAACCTAAGAATAGTATTTTAGACTGCAAAGTGTGTATACCCAGCCGTTAATGGTGTGTCCTCAGTAGCTCCTCAGTCCTCTGCCTCATATCGTTCAAGAAAACAGTCAATTAACTATAAAGTGATTTAAATTACCTTGTTACTGTCGAAACAATCGTTTGTAGTTGGTTAGGACTACAGCTGTTTCATGCTTCAGATGGAGCACATCATCAGGTCAAAAGAATGCAATGTCAAGTAGTCTACATTGAATATTCCTTGCAGTGGACAGAATCAACCAATTCATTTGTCTGTCTCAGACCCGGAATGTCTTATTGTTTGTTTCAGATAGTCATAGTGGAGGGGGAGATGTGCGGGCCGCAGG